CGATGTGGGACAACGGGACTTCCGTAGTACCCCTTCTCCTCACTAATCACAGGGGTGTGTTCCAAAGAACAAAGCCATCATGCAAAACTCACAGTATGTGAAAAGGACCACATCGGACCGCAGACGTCATTCTGTAGCTGCTAGCCCATGGAGAACCATGGCCCAGCTAAGTCGGCACACAACCTGAACCATCCCAGCCAGCATCCTCCCTCCTTACACCGCACACCTTAGCGTCCTTGACTTCCGGGCATACATCGTTTCTATGCAGATGGAAGCTTCTTTCACTGCCGCCATGAGTGCACTTGGATCTCTTGGTGGCGAGATCAATGATAAATGAAGATGAGCTTATAGTGCTTCCCCTTGAACACGGAAGATTTTCACACACCTTTCCCAAGCCAAGCCTGTTGCCGCCAAGTTCATTCTGATGTATGGTGACCCTCTAGGACCGTCCATAAGATTTTCAAGGCTGTAACTGTGGGAGCTGCAGACTGTCATAGCTTTTTCTCAAAGTGGTGAGTAGGTTCGAAGACCTGACCTTTGGGGACAAAGCAGGCGACTCAACCACTGTGCCACCAGGGCTCCTCCACACAACCTTCTCCCCACTGCTATCAAGCTGACGCAGAGGGACCCTGTAGGGCAGGACAACTGCCCCTGTGAGTTTCGGAGACTGTAGTTTTTTTATGGGAGTAAAAGCCCCCTCTCTCGCCCACCGAGGGGCCAATGGTTTCAAACTGTTGACCTCACAGTGAGCAGCTCAATGGGTAACTACTACGGCATAATCTTAAAAGGCAATGCAAGCTAAATAACAAGACACACTTCCAAGTGCTGGCAAAATCAGTTTGTGCCAAACCTACCCCCCAACCCCCCAGAAGAAGTGTGATGAGGATCTGTTTCCACAAAGATTACAGACAAGAAACCCCTTGTGGGTGGTTCTGCTCTGTCACCTGGGGCCCCCAGGAGTCCAGGTCTACAGGACAGCCCCTAACCACAGGGCAGTCTGAGCTGTCTCACAACAAGGGGTCCACTCACTACAAAAGGAAATGTAGGCACTTTACAGTGGAGACATCACCTTAACCTGTCCACCGGCAGGCCTCTTCCTAGCCCTCAGCCTCTTGGCCCTAGGCCCCTCCGGACCAAGTTCTGCTTTGCCTGGGCGAGTGTTACAAAGTCCTTGAGTGCCACAGGGAAGTGCCCAGAGGCGCCCCATTCCACCAACAGCTCAGCTTTTTCGTTTCCATGGTCCAGGAAGCCCTGCCCCCTCGTGTGTCTGTCTGCTTCTGCTTTCTCCACCGTCTGTCTGCGGCTGCCTGTCACTGCCTCTGGTGTGACAGCTCCCTGTCTCTTGCGCAGGGACCCGACTCACCTCATCTTGGTGGTGGTGGTTTCTTGCTTCCCCACCTCCTGCTCTGCGATTGGTTACCTAAGCCTGGCAGGCTGGCCAAACTGACCAATCCCTTCATCAGGGTTCCATAAACCTTATCTGTACGATCCCACCCCTTAGGAGTTACATGCACCTCATTGCATGATTAGCAAGCCATCCAATCCCCTTTATGGGCCATAAGCACCTCATGTTCATAGTCCCTGCCTGTCTTTTGCTGGAAGTTTCAAGACCACGTTCTTACCGCGACTCTACAGGCTAGGGTAGAACTGCCCGGGTGAGTTTTAGAGACAGTAACTCTGTAGGGGAACAGACAGCCCCGTCTTTCTTCCGAGAAGCCGTGGTGGTTTTGAACTGCTGACCATCCTGAAAAAGCCGTATCAAATCCATCTGTCGCACCACTGTTGTAACCCATTTTATAGATGGCTTTTCGTCACCTAACCTACTGTGGCATTAAAAAATATATATGACTTATAATATTCACAATCAATATTTAAGCCAAAGGGGCTTCATGAAGTGAGTGGCGAATGGAAAGAAAAAGAAAAGAAAATTTCTCCATGAACTTTTTGAAGCCCCCTGTAGGTCCCTACGATTTCTAGGCAGTGGGATATAGATATCACTCGCTGTTTCCCTGTGGCTGGGCATTTCGGCTGTTCCCAAACACTCAAGAGTCTAATGACGCTCAAGAGTCAATGTCTCTGTCCACGTGGTTTTGGGCATAGTTTGGATTATCTCCTTAGACATGATCCCCAGAAATAGGATTACTGGATCAAGCCAAATACTTTCCAGAAGGCTTATTCCAATTTACATGGTCAATAATAATAAAGGAGCACTCCCGCTTCACTGGCATTTATCATGTTTGTGTTCTGCCTAATTTGTTTTCCTTCTGATTTAGTGGAGAAATAAATGATACTTTGTTGCTATAGCTTAGCGTTCTTAACATGGGTCTAAGCTTTCCCCCCAGGAGCCTGGTGGCATGGAGATGAAGCCCTCCGCTGCTGACCGCAAGGTGTTTGGTTTGAAGCTACCAGCTGCTCCGGGGGAGGCAGAGGGGCAGGAGACAGAGGGGCAGCGTACTTCCGTCCAGATTACAGCCTTGCAAACCCCATGGGCTTGGAAAGCCAGCCTTACGGGGCTGCTGTGAGTTACAACAGACTCAGTAGGCAAGGCTTTCATCTGTTTTTCCACATATGAGGGGGCAAAAGCCCATATTTTTCCATGAGCTTTTTGAAGCCCCCCTGCCCTTGTATACTTATCGGCAGCTTTGACTCTTTTTGTCTGCCTGTGCTCGTTGTTCATTTACCAGGAATATTTGAGGAGTATTTTTGTCAATTCTGAAAAGCCCTAGAAGAGAGCTATCAACCTTTCATCTCACCCTGTGTTGAGGAGCTTTCCAGTCCTGGGGGGTTTAAAGAAGAGGGCTCATTCTTCCACGGCTTAAAACGGCTACAAAGGGGACAGCTAGATCAGGTCATCTGTTTGAAGACACAGCTCCCATACCAACAGACCCGTGAGCAACAATGTATGAGCCCTCCCAGGAAAGTGTTGAGAGCGCTTTGCAAGGATTTCCAGATTCATTTGGGAGGGTGGCGCAAATGGTTAAGCGCTGGAGGAACTAATCAAAAAGTGGGTGCTTCACACCCACCCAGACATGCGGTAGCCTGTTTCCGGCAGGTCACGCCCCTGGAGATCCTATGGGGTGGCAGTTCCACTCCACACACACGTGATCATCATGAGCTGGAATTGACTCGCCAGCAACTCCCAATGAGATCAATTGATGCACGTGTTAGACAGGTTTACGCAATTCCCTTTGTCTAGCAAAGTCCGGGGTACAAGCGCAGCCGTCGCTCAAACCTAGTGGGCCCACAAGAGAAAGCCCCACCGACCCAGACACTGGGAGGTGTGGTGCTGCTCTGTCAGAGGGACTCACTGTGAACTAAAACTCGACTCGATGGCACCAAACACAGCACAACCACCGCCAAGTCTGAGCAGCACGTGCTGGGAGAGAGCCCTCAGGAGTGAACTGCCACTCATTGCAGCTGGGATAGGGTCGTTTGCTTTTGTCAAAGCAGTTGGCTGGGTCACCTCCAATAGACAAGAGGGCTAATTCTTTTTCGTGGCCAGGAAGGGACCCAGAATGTCCCGGGAGGAAGCCTTTCCTAAACGCAACCTAGAACATCCCCAGAGCCCCTGAGGGGTGAACGGGGCTCCCAGCTCGGGTTTGCTGGTTGTCTTCGGGGAGGAAGCAGCTGCACCGGGCCATCGACAGAGCACACTGTGTCCCAGCGTTTTAAAAAAGGGAACGAGCAAAGACATGCTTGGCCAAAAAGGTCAAGACTGGAGCGCATGTGCACGCAGGTGGACCCCCAGCCCCAGCTTCCCCAAGGACGGGTCTCCAAAGGGCAGCTGGTAGGGAGGGCTGCTGCGAGGAGGGCAGAGGAAGCCCTCCTGTGGACCCAGCAGCATCGTCGCTGCTAGAGCCACAACACTGCCTGCGCGACCTCAAGAGCCCCGGAGCCGGCCGCCTGGTGCCCCGGGACCAGCTGGCCTCCACTCAACAGCTGGAGGTCAGATGACTCTGAGCTTGTGACCTCATCGTTGGGACACCCAGGCGACCTGTCTCTACCAAAGTGCTGGCTGTCCTAAGTCCTTTGGAAAGTATTCAAGCTCTTAACAGTAGCAACCTAACGGTAGGCAGCAGGCAGAGGGGCTCTCACTGGGGGAAGCCAGGGCTGAGCTCGGGGTTTGGGCATCTTAGAACTTGGCATCCTTGGCTTTTTGGAAAATTATTTATTTATAAATATATATAAAAATAATTATATATATATATATAAAAATAAAAATAAATAAATAATTTATATATATATAAATAGTTGCCAATTTCACGTGTATAATTTAGGACTATCAATTACATTAAAAATGTTGTGCAATCATCACCCAGAGACTTTGCAAGAAATGTAGTATCTTTTCCTCTCTAATGAGGTGCCTCACCTGCCCCCGAGGGCAGGGCAGGGGCCGAGTTTTTCTTGAGAGCTTGGGGAGGTGCCAGGCGGCTCGCAGCCCTCAGCGACTCACCTCAGTCTCAGAGCGGCTGACTAGAATCAACGACAACAGGGATAGAGAGAACCCACCGCCTTTAGTCTAGACAGGACCAACCGGGGAAATCCACGTGTGTATTTCACAACGTAGGCACTGCTGTTGCAGCTCTGGGAGTGGCTGAAGGCGCCGCGCACACTGTGGCAGGTGCCGAGGAGGTGACTCTGGCCCAGGGCAGCCGGGCTCCGTGTCCTGGGAAAGCCACCTACTCATTTCCCAGCCTGGGGACCATCAAGCGGCAGAGGTGGTCAGAGTGCGGTGAAACCAGGCTGGGCGGGTCCCAAGTGTCCCCGCCAACTCCTCTGGCTGGGCCTGAGTTGGGGGGGTCACCTCACTCCAGGAGGCTTGGGGCTGGGGAGACTCGCTGGGGCTAAGCCCAGCACTGTGCCCGCTCACCCAGGGCTGCCCTCCAACCACCACGGCGCAGGGATTGCCGCCGGGCGCCCGACCTCGGCTGGGCCACCTCTGGCCCAGGAGAGACGTGGGGGTCCCCCCGGAGCGGGCACGCAGCGCCGGCGCCACCCACCTGACCAGGTGAAAAGCCCAGAGCAGCCGGCCGGCGCGAGGCCCGTGCGCGCCGCGCACGATGCTGAAGTACAGGTAGAGGGCGATGGCCACGGTCCAGAAGAAGGAGCTGGTGTTGGCGAAGGTGGAGAGCGCGCCCTGCAGCACGCAGTCCCACGAGGGCCCCGAAAAGTCCTGCAGCACCCCGTAGAAGTAGGAGGCGGCCGAGAGCAGGTCCGCCAGCGACAGGAAGAGCAAGAGGCGCCGCGCCGGGCTGCGCAGGTCGGGCCACAGGGCGTGCGTGGCCACCAGCAGGCCGGAGCCGAGCGCGGAGAGCGCGCAGGACAGCAGCACCACGGCCCGCTCCGACGGCACCAGCACCGTGGGCGGCACCGGCGGCGGCA